GGGTTATAATACTTATAAGTCTATAAAGTAACCATTTACTAAGTCCCCCGACCCTCCAAGTAGTATAGGGGCCTGTGTGGGGTGAATTTCATTTATACAGAGACAAGGAGCCTCCCGTACGCGTAGGTATTTAGGCCCCTATACTATTTGTCCAGTGAAGTTGGACACAGACATGCACAGAAAATTGAGCTGCGCAGTGGCAGCTCTTTCGGACATTAAACACCCTATGGGTCCAAGCACCTAACAACACACTTGCTCAAATACTCGCCAGTCTCGCTGCTATCCTAAACCTTGCTTTCTATGCATGGTGGACTAACCTTACCCCGAACGTTGCAAGTTGAAACGTGGACATGGCCCTCACCAAATCCTGAACCCTAAACGCTAAACCTCAAACCCCGTAGGCCTCGAACTCGCTAGTACTAGGATTTCAGGATCGAAGCATGAACCCCTAACACTGCGGCCTTAATGGTTAGAACAGGATTGGAGGGCACACATGCTTTAGCATAGATACCTCAGGAATGGGGTATTACTATGGCTATAGTTCCAGGCGTCTATACATGGGTAGTTGTCAAAATTATGGTCCCTTTTGGGGTACCCTAAATAATAGGTGCCGTATTATAATAAGGACCCAAAAAGTGACCCAAATTTTGACCACCACCCACATATCTTTAACAGCAACTCTGCTGTGGCTCTAAAGAGCCAGCCTCCGAACGGGGACAAAAGTTGTCATGGCTTCCGAACTATCTTCGGAACCCTAAACCCTAAACCCTAAACCCACTACAGGGAAGCTCTTCCACCGAATGACTGACCCTAAGCCCTAAATCCTCGACCCGACCTCTACCTCAAACATAGGGGCTTGGGGTTTCGGATTCCGGGCTTCGGCTGTCCTAAGCAGTTTGAAATTAGGCTGCGGGGTGCGCGCTTCTTCAGGAATTCAGGTTCAGCCTTTAGGGTTTGGAGCTTAGAAACATAAGGGAATTGCCATGTCAGGCTTTCGGGCAACGAACTCATAGCCTTTCTTTTCAGGCACATTGGTTAATTGCTCTACCTTAAGATCCCCAAACCCACTTTTTAGACCCTACATAAAAGTAGGTTTTGGGTTCTTAAGGTAGGCTGTAAGACTTAAGGTTTAATGTGTTCAGGCCCGCTCGGGTGTTGAACCAGGCTACGCTGTGGTAGCGTGCGCTTGTCGCGATGTGGCTGCGACGAATTCGAACATTTTCTGGGGTTATCCTTCGAGCATGTTTTAAGATGTGCGCTTCACACTCTAGTATTGAAACGTTAGTGACCAGTATGCCGGAGCTTCGTAAACCGTGCGTCCTGTTCAACTCCTTCCGCATATCCGATCAGGAATCAGGCAAGAGGACGACATTGTGCTTGCATAGGGTATGAGTCAGTAACTTATACTTATATATATATATATGTATACA